ATATTAGGAAGAAATTCCTCACTGTGTGATGGGGCACTGGCACAGGCTTCCCAGAGAAACTGTGGGTGATGCATCCCTGGAGGTGTTCAAGGCAGGTTTAGATGGGCTGTGGAGCAACTTAGTCTAGTGGAAGTTGTCTCTGTTCATGGCAGGGGGATTGGAATTGGGTAGTTTTTAAGGTCCCTTCCAATCAAAACCATCCAGTGATTCTGTGATTCCATGAAATTACTTACTTTTTCAGTTGCTAATTAGATTGTGAAACTGGCAGAACACTTAATTCCATAGGCAAGCTTCTTCATTCCCTCTTAGAAACCCCACCACCTCAAGTTTTGCCCATGTGCCCCTGGTGTGAGTTATTTGCTTTTGAAAGTTTCACTCCTGCTGCCATTGGTGGTTGAAAGGTGGCATGGAAACTGTGTTTTCAGTGTTCTCTTTTCATTCAACAGCAAAACCTGATGAAGGCATCATGCATCATCCATTGGCTGGCCCTCCAGTTATTAATCTCCGCCCTTACCGGCTGGTGTCAGTCAGATCTCTTCAGGGGTTTGGAAACCAAGAAAAAACTGTGGGAATCAGACTGGAAACAGAGAACATATGTACCTCTTTCTAAAATAGAATTGTTCATGGTCTCACAGTGAACTTTAACAATTAAGTAAAACAAAACAAAAACATTGTCATAATTCTCTAAAGGAGTTCCCATGGTACTATTCATAAAACACCATATGGAATTTTGTATATATTGGAAAATACTTGTCTAATTATGTGAACAGCTTACAGATTAAGCTGTATAGTGGAGACTAGAAGCCAGCCATAACTGCAGTGGCCTGCTTTTGCTTATTGACTGATGGTGTGTCACCTCTGTAGCAATGTTAACTGTGAACATACTCAAAAGAAAGACAGCTGCTTTGGGCCACTGACTTAGGGACTCCCTTAATGTTAAAGTTGTGTCCCTTCCATCCCATATGATAATAATTTGGCTGAGCTCTAGCTTCTGAAAATGTCTGCTTGATTATTTTTTCTTTCCAGAGTTCTCCCATCACAACTCCCTAATTTTTGATGCCAAGTCACCCGCCTTCTCCTGTTTAGCTTGAAATGTAGGTGTTAGAGCACTGTGTGAAAATGTGTGTGCACTTACACATGCCAGTAGAGCCAGAGAATTTTCTGAGGTGCCCAACTGGCAATCTGTAACCACTGAAAAGAAATTCAGTCCTAGGATGAAAACAGAGATTTTTATGAGAAGCCTTGGGTGAGTATAACTTGCTAATGCCTGCAATCTTCAAAGTAAAAAGAGATTCCAGGTTGTGTTTCTGCCTAAGAATATAAATAGGAGCATGCTCAGTGTTGCACACACAGCTTGCAGACTTGCTCCTCACAAGCCTTAGTCTCTGCCTTGTTTGTGCTCATTAGCTCTGGAGTTTTCGAGGAAAAAACAGTGTGTTCATTTAACACTTCCTTTATGGAAATACTTTGGATTTGTTTGGGAGTAGCTTTGAGACAAAGATGCACTACATGAAACTTCATCGCTTTTCAGAATTGATTCTCAGTAGTGAAGAACTTTTGGGAGTGTGTGAAGACCTTAATTGCCCTGAATCACCAGGAAAGTTTGCATCCTTAACTGCTAAAAAACAGCAAGTGGCACAAGTCACGGGGGGGTAGAGTTTCTTTTCACTTCATCTCATCTCCATCAGGCAGGTTATTCCAGGGCAAACAGTGGTAGTGTAAAATGAGAATACATTAAATATGTTACTTTTGGCTATATTAGAAAACCAAGGGACATCAGAGAAAGCAGTGAAATGGGATGAAAGGATTTTTTAAGGGCCTACTCTATTATTAATAGTAGAGGATATTCAGGCCACAAGTAAGAGTTACTGAGGTGCTTCAGTGAGGAAGGTAAAATGGGTTTCATCTACTTGTTTTTTAACTTCTTCTGAATTCCTTTAGCCACTCTATGGCATGAGGCAGTTTAGCTACACTTGCAAAAAAGTGTCCTGGAAACCAAAGATTGAGGAGATAGTGGTAGATGAAGTGATATATGTGCATATCACTGCAGCTTTACAATGAGAAATGCCAGATCTGCATATGAACCAGAAAATAGATGTGAATATTTTTTTAATGTGTTGGTGTCAGTCATTGTCAGCAGGGATCTGACCAGTTATAGGTGTCTCTGCTGAACTAGTCAGAAGAGGAAAGGATGCACCACCAGAGTAAAGGTTCTTACATGGATTCACCCAGAAATTTTGGTAAGGTTGGTTACTTAAGCATAGGTCTGCCCGTTTCTGTGGTTACTCTGAACTTATGAATCCCTTTATACATAGTCATTGTAGTGAACAAAGTCATTCAGTGTAATCTGCAGTGGACACCAAATGGTGCACAGCGTCTTGCCTGTCTTGTCCTAGGCATCACAGACACGCCAGCTGAACCCATTGTAACTGCAAAATATTGTTTCCAGTAAGAGAGATTGCCATTTAGCTGAGGTGTGCATTGTCACACTTTGGAACAGTTGCCATGCTGATGTTATATTGATGTAATGCTACTTTTTAGATACTTTTTAGATACTTTCTAGATGCTTGTGGGTCTTTTTACTGTTTTGTTTAAATATTGTATTACAAAAATATACCAAGAAAGCTATATGGATATTTATTCCTTTCAAGATCTCAGTTTAGTCCATTAAAGCAAAAACTTGGGAAAAAACTTCTTAAAATAGTTTTTAATGTTCTAAAGGTGTTGTTAACGCTGGGAGTCTGTCCCACATCATGCCCTGAGGTACCCCCTTGACTTCAGAGGTCACACATGTTACATCCATGCAGTGTTGCTCCACCTCGCGGCCCCTGACCCAGTGTGGCAGTGGGGTGGTGAGGTGTCACGGGACAACTGCGCTGATGCTGAACAGCACAGCCCTTCTCTTCCCAGTTTTCAGGCAACAGGGAAAAAATACTCTAGGGGTTTTTTCTGCTGAATTCTTTTTTTTTTTTTTTTGCCACCTTTTGAGCTTAACCACCTTATTGGAGGGTCTGACAATTGCCAGAACCAGTGTAAGAAGAGGGAGCTTAGAGCTGTTCTTAGGATGAGAAGATTAGAGGAAAAGGACTGACCCTTTCAGCAACAGGAGCAGTTAAATCTCCTTGCCCATCTCATTATCTTGTTTCACAGAACTCACACTCTCTATGTTCTTCATGTGTGTAAGTATGTACATAAATAATTTCCTAAATCTCTGGGTATATTTCTTGAAGAAAACAAAAATAAAAGTATCGTAAAAAGAGCATAGAGGGAAAAAAGGTCATAAAGTGAATTAATTTTTGTTTTCAGCAGTGACATTAACCCATGTCAAAGTTCTGAAGATTGTATACACATGGGCTAATATTAACTTTTCATTTACAGGATAGATTTGTGTTTATACATGCTGTGAAGTGAGAGATGATATTCCTAAATATCACTATAAATGCACAAGGCCTCGGTCATTACTACTTTATTCTAGGAAGCATGGCTGCTCTTTGATTGGAATAAAGATGGCAGCTCAACCCTAAAGGGTTGACTGCATTTTGTGACTGTATTTCCACACACCATCAAGTGAATACCTGCTTAACTACTGAGTGTTAGAAAACTGAGAGCACTTCCTTGTACCTTTCTTGCTGCATGGAGTGTCTGCTTACGAGATGTCTGAAGCCAGGACTTAAAACATAAATGCTTTAAACTGGTTTTATTATTTAAATTTGCTGTTGTCCTTTGTGAATTATTGAATTATACTACAGCCTTTAAAATGTCCTTCAGAAACTTCTGCTCTTTAGCAAACACCCATCCAGAAACTGGCTTCCTTTCATTTCTGATTAGAAACTAATCTGCCCATATCTGCTGTTGCTGGTTCTCTTCACTTTCACTGATTGGGAGTTTACAAATAACTTTGCTCCCACAAGGTCTCATGAAGTACATCTGTGCAAATGCAATCATCATTCACAGGGCTGAGATTTTCACCCCACTCCATGTGTACCACCAGTGCCCCTGCTCTATAACCAAATCCAGTTTTCCTCTGATAGGCATCTCCCTCAGAGAAAATGTGAAATAGCACTGTAGAATGAACCATGGTATTTATTACAATGTCTTTCAAAGCCCTGCTTGCATTTACTCAGTCTTCACTCAGTTTAGTGTAAGAAAATAAGATTATTTTCATTCTCTTTGATGTGTTTACCAGCTTGTGTTGTTCTTTTATGAAAGATATGTTTTAGTCCCAATATTCTGAACTCTCTTTGAAAGAGAAGTGCTAGATAACATTTTGCTTACCTGGTAACTTCCCCTGAAAAATGAATAGGTGGTATTTTTGCCAAAGTCAGGGAATTTAAGATGGTAACTAGAAACAGAAGAAAATGTGAAATAGACCCATTTCTGTTCCACCAAATAGAATATTAGCCCCAGTACTTTGAGCTGTTAAAGATACAAATTATATAATTTATAATGTATTATAGTCAATATAATATTGCAGAGCAAATAAGAAGAAATTTGGTTAGAGGTATTTTGTGAACAAGCACATAGGATGGACCAAACGTCTGTGTTCAGTAAGTTCATACGGGAGCATATCTATCATCACTCAGCTCTTTTTGGCACAAATAAATGCCTCAAGGTCACTTAATCAAGTCAACAAAACTGGACCAAAAGTGTATGTTCTGCCATGAGAATGGTGTGTATTCCATCCGTGCAATAAATTCAAAGAGGAAAAATGGTCATAAAAATATACAGGAAGAAAAGACATTTGGAAGTTTTCAGGTACTGAGAGAATGCCAAACCTGGTGGCTGCTGGGCAGCTCATATTTAATCACAGGATTCACAGTTGAGTTACATCCATTGATGTAAATGGATGAGCAGGGTTTAGTGCAGCTCACACTAATGCTTTCACTCCAAGTGCAGAAATTGCTTTGAAGTTTCAACTGTCCTGCCCATCCAGAGCCCTCCTAAATTCAGAGGTGTTTTCTCGCCTGAAGAAGTGTCTGAATTCTCTTTTTTTTTTCCAGAATCAGTGGATAACTGTCCCAGTAATTGCTATGGGAATGGAGACTGCGTGTCTGGGACTTGCCATTGCTTCCTTGGCTTTCTGGGCCCTGACTGTGGCAGAGGTAGGAATGTATGCATGATTAACTGTTACCCTCTCCCATTCAGTTAACATTTTTCTTCTGGAAATTATATTCATGATGGTGCCTTTTGCAAAGTACTCTTCACCCAGTGTGGGGATGCTGCAGTAGAGTGGAAACAAGTTGATCTGTGAATTTTGTTTGCCACAAATTTGCTAGAATTTCAGTGAGCAGCTGAGGGACCCGTGGGTGTTTACGCTGGAGAAAAGAAGGATCAGGGGACACCTTACTGGTCTCTACAACTACCTGAAGGGAGGGTGTAGCCGGGTGGGGATCGGCATCTTCTCCCAAGTAAGCGATAGGACAAGAGGAAACATCCTCCAGTTGTGCCAGGGGAGGTTTAGATAGGCTATTGGGAAGAATTTCTTCAGCAAAGGATTCGGGCTGCTCAGGGAAGTGGTGGAATCACCATCTCTGGGAATTTAGGTGTGGCATTTAGGCACATGGTTTAGTGGTGGGCTGGCAGTGCTGGGCTAAGAGCCAGACTCAATCTCAGAGGGCATTTCCAAACTTAATGACGCTGTGATTCTTTACTAATCACGACTGCTGTGCCCTTAGCAACAGCACAAACTCTTGGGCTGCTTGTGGACAGGCAAATGTCATGTTGGAAATTTTTCTCTCTGGAACTGACTTTAGAAAACAGGACTTATAAGTGTGGCATTATGGTTTGTTTAGCAGAGCACTTTTATCATGGTGTGGCATGACACTGTAATGATTCTTTTAAGATACTGATTACACAAAAAGTACCTGGCAAGTCTGTCTGAGCCTGGAATAGGGCAGCGTTAGCATAAGGCTAGGAGTGGGATAATGGCAGGAAAAACTCGTTACTCTGGCCAAAAGTAAAAACACTGGGAGGACTGGGAAAGAGACTTACCCTAGTAAACAGTATAATATATATTTATGCTCAAGTGATAAGTATTTTTAATAAATGGTTTTGGAAGGGTTTTCTTTGGCCTGAATTTTTTAGGTTATTTAAACATTTAAAAAACAAACTGAAATACTTTTAGTAAGAACACATTTCAAACCAAGATATGAAAACCTTGCATGTGGGAAATGACAGGATGACTGTGCATCAACCTTTTCAAGGCCTTTTTTGGCTCAAACAGTCCAACAAACTAAGTACAGATTTATAAATGTGGGGAGGGAGGTAGCATAAAACGTTAGTGCCCACCCAAGGAGCTGCGGTAAAGGCTGCAGGTCAGGCCCTTACCCCAGCTCATCGCTGCTTTGGAAAGCAGGCTGGCGCCTTCCCAAAAGAGAGCTAAACTCTGTCCAACCCCAGCCCTCTCTCCCTCCAGCTGAGCTGGGTCACATCCCAGCAGCGAGGCAGGAGACACAGATAAGGAGCCGCGCAGCCCCAGGGCAGGCGGGAGCTCCCTGCCAAGGCAGCGGGGCGGGCTGAACCCGGCGGGGTTTCAGAGTTCACAGCCCAGTAAGATGGATGTGGCAAGCCGTGTCCCTGAGAGCTGTTGTGTCAAACTTCTTGCTGACTCAGGTTACACTTGGTTTGCATTTCCTTACACTTGGTTTGCATTTCCAAGCTCCTTTTCAAATCCCTAGAGCTGGAGACAAAAAGTTTTTTCCATGTCCCATAGCATATTCCAGCTCACACCTCCTAACTTTCAGTGGGGGCAGAAGTTCAGAGCTTATTTCCCCCAAGGCTCCCTGTAGAGTCTGTGGAGAAGAACTTTCTTCACTGTGAGTCAGAGTACTTAAACTCTTGTTCTGAATCCACTTTCAGAGGAACTCAGCTCGCCTCCCTGGACTTTCTCAGCCTTTTCAATGGAGTGATGTGAGTCTCCCATTTCACCAGAGCACATGCTCTAGCTGCTATAAACACCTTTTATTAAACTCTGTCTTTTCATTCAGAATCATCTGGGTTCAGATCACAGGTTGCACTCTGCCTTCAGGTAGACAGAAAAATACCTGGAATGCCGAATTTATGTTTGTATATGCATATCCACTCACCAGGCATGTTAAATAGATTGTGTTGCCATGAGAATGAGATCCAAGGATTCCAGCATTGACTTCCTATTGGTTTTCAGGGGCATCCAAGACTCTTCCTTTGACCTATAAATCCCTCAAAAGGCAGCATGTGTAAAGCTGTCATGGTATCCATTTGCAGCCCTTCACGATCCCTGTATGGAGCAGTAATCCTTAAATAAGCAGGTTCCTGCTCACATGAAGAATTCCATGGATTTCCTGGGTGTTCCTTTATTTCAGTTCAGCCTTATAATTCACCATCCAAATGAATGGCAAACTCTGGAGCAGAAAGCCTTTCTCTTTTTAGTAATGGTTAATTACTAACATATTATTCACCAATTATTTTAAACAAAATAAATGAGAGCAAGTCACCAGAGGTGTATTCCATAGGCTTTTTGAAGGTTTTCTTGGACATGGGAGGTGCCCTTTTCAAGTTCTGTATAAAGTAAACAAACAAACAAATGATCTTACTCACTGGTGCTCAACTTTGCAAGAAACAGAGTATGCATTTGGGTTGCTGCTATCATTACCACACTAGAGAATTACTGTAATTTTGCCATCACAGACATTGTTAGAATCTGAATGATCAAATAATAATTATATATCTTTATATATGGAAAAGAATTGCTCAAGTAACAGGAGAAAAAAATCAGAAACCTCTTTTGTCTTTATTCATTATTGCGTGCTACAGGGGTGGCCTTGTTCTCACCATTGCCTTGACATTTCTAGCAGTGCTTTCCAGGTGATGCTGAAGGTGTTCTCCACAGAAGGCTCTGTGGAGTGTCAGTCTCACTGCAGATGGCCAGTAATTTATCTGATCTTTTACTGAGTGATCAGCTGTCTTGTCAGTAAACATGTAAGTGTTTCTCAGCAACCTCTCCCTGGTTAAAGGCAGTTATTCTTTCTTCTTGTTGAAAAGAACTGCAGACTATCCCCTGTTAGTGCCTTGAAAGAACAATGTCCATTACTGTGCATTGAAATTTGAGATGGGAGGGGCAGAAAATTCCATCATTTAGCTGAAAAGTGAAATTACAGAGTGAGTGTGCTGTGAACCATGCACACAATACAGTGTGTCTTAAACAATTTAAGTGTCATATTGTATAGGTAGATACCATCTTGCAAATTATGCACTTGAAATGCACCATGGCATCATGTTTCCTTTAAAGTGAACTTTAAAGTGTTTCCTTTAGAGTGCTCCTTAGTAATAACAGTTGCCAAATTCCTTTCTTTCCTAAACCTCTTTTATCTTGGTCAGGCAAATACAGTTCACTGCATATCAATCTGGTTTAACAGTCAGAGTTGGCAATGCTTTGTATTTTATTGAGGCTGCTGTAGTTCTGGAACACTCAAACTGACTTGACTATAAGGATGTGTGGAAACAACTCATGATGCACTTTATGAGATTACAGTCTGAAAATATGGAAGAGAAGGAGGGGAAAGCTTTCCTTAACCATGTAATACCCCTTCCCACACATAATCAAAGTCAGGAACAAAGCAAAAGAGGATTCATCACATGCCTAATCCAGTTGGATTAAGCAGCAGAATGGAATATTCTTTTCACATTTGTCCTGCATGAAATTGTTTATAAATTGCCTTTCCAAGGGGCAGATGAGAAGGCCAGCTGCTCTTACCTAAGGCTGATGTGCAACAGTGAACAAGAGCACCCTGTGTTGAATATATGTCCTTGCAGCGGAGTTTCAGCAAAATAAAATGAATGAGAACAGGACTTCAGCAAGAAGTTTCAAGGCAGAGTGAACAGGAAAAGGCTGTTGTTTCTGAGGGACTGAAATCAGCATCTTCCTTGGCAAAATCAGAACAGAGGACAAAAAGAGCATAATGTGGCTGGTGTGGAGAATGGAATAAGGAGAAGGCATCATCTGAAAGGAGCTGGAGAAAGCTTGGAGAGCAGTGATTGCAAAAAAAAAAAAATGATTGGTCGCAGAGGCTGAGGTCTGGTCCTTGATGCCCTCTGCTTCCTTGGGCAACCTGTTCTGTATTTCATCCCATCCAACTCTGCCTAGCAGTTTCCATATTTAGCTCCGAAAATGCTTAATCCTGGGATCCATCATGCCACAGCTTGAGCTTGTCATCTTCCTCTTTCCCCTTTATCACAGGGAAGAAATCCTGTATCTGGGTGGCCTTGAGAGTCACCTGACTTTGCTGGAAACAAGGACAATTAAAAATCCTTTATAAGACCTTTATAAATTATACACATTTCAGAGGATAGATTGACACAGCTTTTATTATAGGGAGCTTGGAAACAGTAGAGGCCAGTTCTGCCTTGTGGCTGGTGATGAATTGAGTCCAGCAGAGGTGATAACCAAAAATTGGGGCTGGGCATTCGGTTAGAATCATAGAATTTTTAAGGTTGGAAAAGACCTTTAAAACTCTTTTCATCAAGTTCAGCTATTAACCCAGCACTGCCAAGTTCACCAGTAAGCCAAATCCCCATATGCCACATCAACACATCTTTTAAATCCTGTCAGGGATGGTGACTGAGTCACTTCCCTGTGCAGCCTGCACCAGTGCTTGACAACCCTTTCAGGGAAGAAAGTTGATAGTTGATAGTGTGACATGAGCTAAACCAGGGAAATAGTCTCAGTGTGGCATTCTGGGCTCTGAGCAAAGCAACTGAAACCCATAAAGCTGAAAGTTAACTCAGAAAAAAAACAGGAGGATGATTTGTGTGCCACTGAGGTCCACAGCAGAGGTAGTGTCCAGGAAAGTCCGGCAGCAGGTCAGGGATAATGATAAGCAATCTAAGGTTAGTAATGCTCCGGAAAGAAGACATCAGTACATTGTGAAATCAGAATACAAGAAAACTGTGAGTTTAGTTAGTAAAAAAAGGTATCAGAGAAACAAAGCAAGAAGATAGTCTAACTTAAGAGCACTGTTTGTTTGTTTGTTTTAAACACTCAAAGGAGAATACAGTTAACGGCTGGGCATCATCCATATAAAAGATTTGTTCTGGCAAAACAAACAGCAACATACCCTGGTGAAGACCGTGTATGAAGAATGTAAATTACATGCTGGACTCCTGTGCTTCTTTTTGAAATGATTTTCCATTTGTTTTAATGTGATTTTTGTTGTCTGTCCATAGCATCCTGCCCAGTGCTGTGCAGCGGAAATGGGCAGTACATGAAAGGAAGGTGCTTGTGCCACAGTGGCTGGAAGGGAGCAGAGTGTGATGTCCCAACCAACCAGTGCATTGATGTCTCCTGCAATAACCATGGCACGTGCATCATGGGCACCTGTATCTGCAACCCAGGATACAAAGGCGAGAGCTGTGAAGAAGGTATTTGCAAGATGCATTCAATTAGCCTTTTGCTTTGATTGTTGTTCTGTAATTATGTGGATGGAGGCAATTCAGAATCAGACTGGCACTTAAACAGAACAATAATAGCCACCTTAGAGATACAATAGATGGATACAACATAAAAATGATATGTTGTCATAACTCCTCGTTAGCTATCATACTTTTTCAATAATTGGATGAAAAGCCATCAAATGCTTCAGATAGAAGAATCTAGTTGAAAGACCAGAACATCTAATCATATGTTCAAATGTTCTTATTAAAGCATCATTTCCATTTACACATCTAAACGTATAATTACTTTTACAGTGCTTTCTTCTCTGCTGTGCTATGCCAAGCAATTTCAGTTGCTAACATACACAAAATGGTGGTGTATGAGAGAAAGTCCTTGGTCTTTGTCAGCTTTAAAAGCTTAGAAATGCTCAGGACTTGAATTAAATTCTGCTTCAAAGTCAGATATTATTTTAATGGCTCTTCCATAGCTTTTTTCACACATTAGCCCCCCAAACATTTCTCATTTACATTTAGATTTACAGCTGCTTGTAGTACTTATCTTTAATCTTCTTGTGTAGGAAGTCACCTGCCAACATAAACCTTTATCTTCCTGAGTGTGACTGCTTCTTACTGCTAATGAAAAAGTGGACGGTTTTGCAAGTGTATAAATCATTTAGAGAGTATAAATATATATCCAAAAGTGCATTATATAAAGAATAATGTTCAAAACTTTGGAAAACTATTCTCAGAATTCTTTGCTGGTGACCTGATAAATAATTATTCTTAAATTGTGCTTCTGTAAGTACATATATAAGGCCTCCTCGCTGTTTGATGGATTAAAGACATCATTTGATACATTTAAGAATGACAACGGCTTGAATTAATTTATGGTTGTCTTCATGTATGCAGGATAAAGATTTATCTGAAATAGCTTTATTTTATAGGCAATGAAAATAGGCTGAATTGGATTCAGACATTCAAATGGCATCTAATCTAGCAATTCTTTTGATGTGTATAATGCATTGGAGTGGGACATCTCTGATGTAGCATGGCTTCAGTGTTAGAGATGAAGATAGTATCAGCTCTTGCAACAATAAGCCATCTCTTGTGAAAGCCTCATTTTGGCTTAAAGCACAAGTCAGTGAAGGTGTGAGCATGCAAAACCCAAAGATTGTGACTACTCAAGTATCTTTAAAGCATCTCTATAGACCTCCTATTTACTAGATCATATCTTTACTGGATAAACAGAAATGAAAAGATCCTGATTTTGCCTCCAGCCAGAAGTGTTTAATGTGTGTAAATCAGAGCGAGATTTGCCCTTTTTCTAACAGGAACCTTTATTCCCCTGGTCACGTTTAAAGCAGAAAAGCCAGGCACTGCTCAGTTATTTTATGCTATCACTGTAGCAGGGGACAGTGTCAGTCCCACTAGGTCAAAACTTGAAAAAGGAGGAAGAACAAAGAGAACATGTTTTTTCTTATGGGCTGTTTAGTATTTTTCCAAGCATGCATGTTTTTGATACTCAAGGCATAATTTGTGTTACATTGTGAGAGGGGGAAGCAGCTCAGAAATATGCCATGTGGGAAATCTTGAGAACCTATATATACATACTTAGATTTAGTAAAAAAGTTGATTTATACTATTTTTTAAATTGCTTTTACTCTTTAATTTCTCTTCTAAGAAGGGCCATCTGGTATTGATTACTTTTTATTATTTCTCAGTTCTCATAGCTTCACTGCTTGGTCCATGTTTGTAATGGGTTTTCATTCCAGGATTTCTTCTGTCTTTTCTTTTTCCCCCACAGAAGTTCAGCAATGTTTATAAAACATCAGCCAACAATCCTACGCAAGATTTTCTTTTCTCTTTCCTTAGTTTATTGGCCCATATTTTATAAGGCATGGCCTAAGCCAGCGAGACATTGCAGGGAGGGGAGCACACAGTTTAAGAAGTGAAATATGAGAAGTTACTCTTTGAGCACCGAATAAGCCTATTAACTTGTGTGACCAATGAAGCATGAGGCATATTCGGGAAAAGTGTAGAAGAGGCACTAACCTTGCTTGCTACATGATTTATCTCCCTGGCAAAGATTCTGCACAAGGCTTAACTATAAACAGGGCATTTTCCAACCAAGAATTTGGCCACTGGGGACATTTTCCTACCAACATCACAGACATATATTTTTTTTTTCTTTTCCAGGTATACTAGATCTTGTCAGCTCTGCCCTCATGCCCAGCTCCTCATCTCTGCTTCTCCCAGAGCTGAGCAGCTAAATTTGTCAAGCAGAACTCCCTAAAAATATACCATTGTACTCCAAATCCACTAAGCAATTGATTAAGAAGAAAGCAGAAGCCTGTAATCCTGTCCCAGGGCCCTTCCAATGGTGCAGAAAGCCTAAAGAGATAGATCCAGTGAGGCTGAGATTAAAGTAGCCGTTGTGTGTGACATTTTCTGAAAGGGCTCATTTCAACATGAAAAATGGCCTTGGGATTATGATAAATGGGGGGTTCTGACATGCACATTCCCCTCCTATAATCGTCTGTGTTAGAGCTGAGATAGCAGATTGTCTGCCTCCTGTGATGGAGGCCCCTGTAAAACTCACCTTTTTCCCAACTGACCTTCAGAGGGGATGATTAATTGCCTGGAGGTAGCCTCTTGTCAGTTAGCCTGTGATCTTTGTTCTCTATGTTCAAACCATCTGCTGAGAACGGACAAGGCTGCTGCTCCGTCCCTTAGTCCTTTTCATACTTATTACTGCTGAGAAAGAACAGGGCCAGGGCTTCAAGGGTCTCATGCTAAAATTGGCACCCTCACTCCCAGCTTGCTAGCAGTGAAGGAGATTTATGGACTCATCCTTTCCAGCCTCTTAAAATTTTTGAGGATTGTTCCAGCTATGAGCAGAGCTCCAGGAATCAAACAAAAAAGAAAATTCTCTCTCGTGCCTTGGGATAGTAATAACTGAGCCATTACTTCTCAGGCTGAGAAGGGTTTGAGGATCCAGGGAATTATCAGAGCAGCTGTTGTGTTTCCTTTTAAGGTTTCTGGATCTTAAACAGGTCAGTGGAATTCTTATTAGCTTTTCCAGGGGTAAAAACTGAACCACAAACCTGTCATGTGTGCGGTAGCCATGTTCTGCTCTGCTGTATCAGAGCCAGAAGCTGGACAGTTTTCCTGTGCTGGTTAGCCAGACTGACACTTGTCACCAATCCCCAGGGAACTGCCACACACTGTTTCAGAAGACGGGAAGAATTTCTCTAGGCTGTCCTATCAGCTTTTATCTATAAATAGAAAATCGACTCCTCCAGTCAGTTTTTCTGGGAGGGTGTCTGGTGCATTTCATATTTTTCAATTGCTGGGTGAAATTCCCCTGTGGGCAGAGCAGCTGACAGTTGCCTACAAAACACATAACTCAGGAATCAAGGAGGGAGTACATTTGGTCTTTTGGTGTACGTTGCTATACCCCTAACTAAATGGTCTCCAATCTTGTTAGGAAAGTGCCTCTTTATGGCGGGGAAGTAAACCTCAAACATTTAAAAAAGAGTATTAATTGATTTTAAAAACCCAAAAAAACCAGAAGAACACCATTTTTAAAAAGGCATGATTTTGCATTAATCCTTATTCCAGAAAAACTGTCTATGGATATATTTCAGTGTGAAATTTCTTTAAGTCTCCATGAAACCTGTATTGATTTAAGCACATTCTTCAATTTAAGCAAGTATTTTGCTGAATAAGAATGTCAGCTTCTGCTGAATCTTTATGCAAATTTCTCTCTCAGAAAACTAGGGCTCAGCTTCCATTTCATTAGTAATAGTAATTTAGGTTATTCTAATGGAATAAATGAAGACACACTATATGTACAATAGAATATTATTCTTATTCTAATCTTATTTTATATTAGGCTGTTCTTACCAGAAAGATCACTTATTAGTGCAGACCTGCATAAAAGAATGGATTTCATCACTAGATTTTTCTCTGTTTTTCATGTAGGTGTTTTAGGTCTCACTGCCTTTTAGGGCCACTGACTTCTTGCATGAAGCATCTGTTTTGTTCACAGCAGGGCTCTTTAGTTGAAACCTTGAGATACTGTGTAAATATGTTTGTGTAGACAGCAGTCTGATAGCTTTTTTTCCTGAAATTCCCATTTGCTTTCCCTGTCTGCTTCCTCTTCCTTCTCACATGTAGTGGACTGCATGGATCCTACCTGCTCAGGACGAGGAGTGTGCGTCCGAGGAGAATGTCACTGTTCAGTTGGCTGGGGAGGACCAAATTGTGAGACCCCAAGAGCCACTTGTCTGGATCAGTGCTCTGGTCATGGGACCTTCCTCCCGGATACTGGACTCTGCAGCTGTGATCCCAACTGGACTGGCCACGACTGCTCAATCGGTAACGTCAGCGCTGACTTACTGTCGGTCTTTCATTAAACTTTGTGAAATACTCAGATGTAACTCTGCAAAAAAGGTGCTACAGATGTATTACAGTGAAGCACATGTAGGGCATGAGTGGAAGGAGAAATTCCATAGCTCAACTACTTAAATAATTCTGCTACAATTGCTGAGCATAGAGTAATATCATAAAAGCTCAATTAAAGCCACGTAAGCTTGCTATTGTTCATTATATGACTGTTAGTGTAATTGATGGTCTACATATAACTTCTTGTTCTGGTGATAGTTCTTGATGAACCCCAGGACCACTAAAGTGTCTGTTTTGATTTTTAGGAGATGACTAAATAATCTTTAGTGGCTGTAAACAAGAAGGACGATTTGGTAATCTGTCCCATCTCCTTTCCCTTCTGAATTCAAAGCTTGTGCTTTTCTAGGCTAGAGGAGGATGAGTGCCTCATGAGGTTCATATTAAAAGACTGCCTTCTGCCAACTAAAAAATAAGTTTACTGAGTGAAAGTATTTATTAGTACAAGCAGCTACCAAGAAGACAGATTTTTATGGGCAGTTTTGTGTAGAGGTTTGAAACAGCGACCTTCATTCCTCCTCTGAATGGGCATCTGCTCAAAATCTGCATCAGGTGTGGGAATTGAAGGCTAAAGAAAAATTGTTCAGGACCCTTTTCTTCCAAATGCAATTAGCTCTTAGAAAAGGCCACACTAAGAAATAGTGAAATACATTAAATAGTTAGAACCTACAGAACATCAGTTCTTTTGCTTTTGTCCTGTACTGTGTGCTCACAAAAAAGGAGACCTCAGCAATAACAGTTTCTATACCTTACACAACTGGAGTGGAACTAGGCCAGAAATCCAGGGCAGCTCAGTACAGGCAGTGAAATGAAAGGAATTTTCAGCAAAGCAACCCAAAAAAAGAGCTATTAGGAGAGTGGATATAGTAGAAAAATTATATAAACAACTTTTTCACTGAGGAATTCCTATCATGAGTAAAGAAAATCAGGTTAACTGTTTGCAAGTATTTTAAGAGATTCATTTCCAAGGATGAGGCACACTGAATAAACTGGTGCTAAGAATATAAGAAAACTCTTTTGACAGTCATCATTTAGGCTGGGTGTTAGAAGCTTGTCCTAAAGTAAAATTCACTGGACTGACTGAGGAATAATCAGAAGAGGAGGCCTACTCTACTTGCCTGGGGCTGAAGATAGGTACATCAAAACTTTTACAGATGTACATAGGGAAGCTATCATGCTTTGTAAGGAAGATACATTTGGTGCCAGGCTTTTCCTTTCCCCATATTAATATCTTCAATCCCATACTCTGTGAGTTTATTTTTAAAACCACCATAAGGAAAAAGGCAGTCATGTATTTGTAGTTTGTAGCATAGTTCATAATTGAGTCATTATTCTGTGTTTGTGCAGAGGTTTGGAGATTGCAGGGATGGATTTGGAAAAATGTTTATTTCAGGGATGGATTTGGAAAAATGTTTATTTCAATGTGCAAACAGAATTCACTTTCCCTTTGCTAACCTGCAGGGTCATGTACAGATGATTTATAAGTTTTCCTTATACTGCTTTTATAAATCCATCTAGTGCAAACTTTCTTTGGCAGCATGAAGTTATTTGAGACAAATTTGAGCATCATTCCAAGACCTTTTTCCTCACTGAGGTGCTTGTAACATTCAGGTTATTGTGCCTCACAGCTAAAATCACAGCTAAGATGATTTGTAAACTTCCATTTCTAGCCCAGACCTTTCCACTGAATTGATGACTTGATTTGAAAGACAGATTTACTCACAGGATATGTGATACTTTTCTTGCATCATTAAAATAGACTGAGCAGGCATGCAATTGCGTGTAATGACACACTGCCCAGCTCACTGGGGTGGAGGTTGTGTAGAAGGGTCTAAAAGGGACAGATTTTTATTGTCCTGTAAAACAGGACCAAACAGAACAGAAGAATTACTACGAGAAAGAGCTAAGTACTTGCAGAAATCACCCTCAGCTAAGCAAAGCAGTTAGGATGTGTTCAGTCCCAATGAAATGTATAGAACTGTGCCCATGTGGATTTGTGCCAAGGACAGCCCCTTTCATAAACCACATGGAGAGGCATACCCTGGAAACAGCATAATTATCTGAAAACCCAGAATATGAACAGGCACAGTGCATCTTCCAGCTCTTACCACCTTGAAGTTAAGAGTAGCTCCTGTCTACAGTGCTCTGTGCTGTATTCATTTAGGTTATCAGGCAGTGTGGAAGCAGTAGCTGAAGTCTGTGGATTGTCATATGCAGAAAGTGAAACTAGAGCCTCTTTGAACCTTAGACTGCGTCTTTCAGCTAAGTAGGTAGATTTTACCTGCCTTTAGTGGTAATCTTAGAGAACACAGATTACTGGATAAAACCCTCACTTTTCACAAAAGAATAATATTACAGAGATTTCTATTTCCTGTTTATATTATCTTTTTTCATTCCACTTAGCCTTCATAGACAAGCTGTTCCAGTTCAGCCTCTTGTGAGAGATTCCCATTCTGAACTGCATTGTAGGAAGAAGTAGTTATATGGTTTGGAGTTTTTTTGCTTTCTGTGTCTGCCCAGTGCCAAGACACGCTGAGACAGGGCTGCTGCTGTACTGCCTCAGAATTGTCATCAGGGAAAATGCTTCTCAAACATATTCCACACTTTCATGCAAGGGACAGTTTGTAGGATCACTTTTCCCTCAATATACACTGGTTTTTTTGGCTGATTCCTAAATACTAGAAAGGGTATCTTAGAGAAAGTACAGAAGTAATTCCAAGAGATAACTTGTACTGAGCAATAGAAGTGGTATTTTGATTTCTCCATGGGATAATTAAGTCACTTCCCTTTTGCATCTTAGTACTATTGCACAAGCAAATTCAAAAAAGTCTTTTATAACCCAGTTCAGCTAAAAAGTCCAAGTCAATGCTTGGTAAAAAAAGAGAATTAAGGAAACACTGATCCTTACTCCATTCCTCCAGTCTGCTGTCACAGATCCTCTGTATCCCAGGCTTTTGAGGAGCTGTCTCCCTTCATGTCTTATGAGCCCTATCTGGAAACTAATGAAGCCATTATGGGGCAAGTCTCTTAACCTTTTATTGTCTAAGTGTAGTGGGAAGAAGGAAATGGCCTGTGCTGCAGTGTGAAACATGTGATTACTGTTTGATATAGTCTCACTCCTGACCTATTTAAGCTGGGCCAACTATTTCTAGCTAATCAAGAGGCAGCACACTGCATACCATAAGACATGTTTGCTGACTGCAGTGAAATGAATAGGTGAGTCATGTCTTCTGCACTGGGGCAATGCACCATTTACCAGAGGGATCTCACTGATGCATCAGTATAATCCCAGACCCATCAAAACAGTATTAGGCTTGGATGCAAAATCATTATTAAAGGAATTAAATTATCTGGTGTTGTCCTTCACTCTCCTCAAATTTAAATCAGTGATTTTCACACTGTTCTGTCTTTGGTGGTTGACATCTTTACATGCACAGTATTCATTCAAATCATTACAAAGTTGAATATACAAAGCAGCAATAGAAATTATGTTCTCTGTGTCTTAAGTGTACTGACTTTTCCTGAGCAGTTGACAGTGGTTGTAGATTGACCTGCGTGCAGATAAGGATCCCTTCTCCATCACTCATTCATAATGACTCATGCAGTTTATGCACAGTTGACATCCAGGCAGTACTTCAGACCCTTAAAAATACACTGGAAAAAAGCAGTAATAGGAATAGTACTTTGTATGTGGTAGTCCTAAATTGCCAGTGGAGACATAAAATCGTGGGCTGCACATTTAACGATAAGACTTAGAAACTGGAAGCTGGGCCTCAGTAAAGAAGTAAGAAGTTATGATATCTTGCATCATATTTTGAAAAGACTTGAGAGTGCGTGCCTGGCCAGAGACTGAGGCTGAGCTTGCATGACCATATCTCATGAAATGTAATACTTTGGTCCTATTATAGCTCCTCTCATTGCTTCTGCTGCGTACATGGTTTTCTGAGGATATGCCATTTGACTTTGTGATTGCCCTTTTGTCCCCACTGTGGCAGGGATGAAATGCTGTTTCCCAGTGACTTACTGACACACTTTGTTTTGAAGGTCTATGATCACAAAAATATTTAGGCATTTAAAATTTGCCTTAAGGAAATACAAATTATCAATCTTTGCTACAGGGTTGTGGAGAGCTACGTATGGCAGGTATTCCTAGATAAACCTGTCCTCCAAGCTCAGTGGGGAAATAGTGTGAGTAGCCACAGGGTAGCAGAAGACCAGGTATTTACCCACCTTCCATGACTTTACTTACTTTCAGTAGGCTGAGAAGTTGGATTTAAAATAAAACTAGCATGGTGTGTGAATCCATGTCTCTGGTTGCAGGGAAGCCATATTCTTATAAATTATTGCAGAGTGAATTGGAGTCAGTGGAAAAGCTCCTATTTACTCTGCAGGAGTATGGATCAGTTGAAGGCTATTCACAAACAATTCTTAGATTTAAGACCCTGTATCAGTTAATGGTAATGACTGAATTTTTTGTATCAATTTCATAGTATAGATTAACAATGGTGAGAGTCTTTCAGGTAGCACACAAGAGTTCCCCACCACAAAGTTGGTACAGTTCATTGAAACAGGCATCTTTTCTCTATTCCAATTAATAGATAAAGAGACCATGAAGAATGAACTTTTAAAGAGTTAAGCTGAAGGAGATGCATCTTTACATTGCAATGTCTTTTTTTCACCAGGAATTGTGCAGGAGACTATTGCACACACGTATACACACACACACACACAGTCACAGAAGCAGTTCTTATACATTTTATCCCACAATGTCATATCCCATTGTTCAAACAGCACCATGGCTAACACAACATCTGTGATAAAACTTGATTTCCTTGGGCTTACCAGTGTCAGCTTTTGCAAACAAAATCCCATGTTAATTTCATGCCGTGCCCAGTGCCACCAAGATAAAAATCCAT